AATAAACGAAATTTATTTTTTTAAGAAAAAAAAAAAAAAAAAAGAAAAAGAAAAAGAAAAAAGGAACGACAACTTTTTTGTACTTCTCTCAAAATTGAAGGACGAAACAGCGCATGCACATGTCAGAGAAACTGCTACGTCACGCGAAATTTAACGAAAGACGTTTCGAAACATTTTTTTGAAACACGTAATCTTTATTTTATTTTAGATTCATTTGTATCTTATTTAACTTTATAGAACACAGACTGAAAATGAAACTCTCTTTTTTGACACGCACACACACATACACATACACAGAGGTGCTCGCTCATCAACTGGGAAGTGTTCTTTTCTTTTTTCCCAAGCACGCAGTTTATGTGACAATTGTGCAAGCTGTCCGACAATAGTCGACTGACAAAGTTGTTCCGCTGTTACTTCCGGCGGAACTGAAATTGGACCACTCTGCTCGTAACGAAGCCAGCCTTAATTCTCGTTTCCAGACGATAGCGCGACAGTACTTGCATTTGGTACAAATTAATTCAATCGAATTGATCAGAAGTTGAATGAAAATGGCATGGACGCCATTTTTCTCGTGATTTTCGTGGAAAAAAAAAAATTTCTACATTTCTCCTACAATTCTATGATTGTTCACGATTGACCGGAAGTGTAAAGTTTGTAGCAGAGGAATGAAAACGAATGGAACAGAAATGAAAAAAAATTTTGCCATACAATGAGAAGCACAAGCTTCTGTTTGTACATTTGGCTGAAAATCGCTCGACGCCTCTGAAAATTATTTACAAAATTATTCACTTATAAGAACTATTGTAAATTCTTCCGTTTCTATATTTTTGCTAGAAAAAAATCGTACACATTTTGCTAAAAACTTTTTAAACAAATATGTCTGAAAATATCACTGTCATATAAATATACAAAACTTCCAGGAGAAATTCTAAATTCCTCTTTTTCCTTTAAAAGTCATTTTTTTTTTCTTTTTTTTTCACTGCATCGTGCCACGTTCCCAGTTACGAACGCAAAATAAATTATTCCGTGATA